GTATGTAAGAATACTAAACGACCAGTGTTTAGAAGAATTATCAATGTATGTAAGAATACTAAACGACCAGTATTTAGAAGAATTATTAGTGTATGTAAGAATACTAAACGACCAGTATTTAGAACAATTATCAATATATGAGAAACTTTAAATACCAAAAGTTAAAAACCTTGTTAATATGTAAGAATGTGAAACGACAGTTTACAATGATTATTCAAAGAACTGTTTGTGCTAATATTTACTAATCGTAGGATTCATACCTCATTGAAAAAAATGAGTAAAAGTGAACATTTTCTAAAAAAAAAAAGGATTTTTTTCTGTTAAGTAGTGCACGGGAAAAGTGTTCGGATTGTGTTCTTTAGTCATACGCAACTCATTGCATCGAAATGATTCAATGTACAGAGCTCAAAGTTTTCATAAATTTAACTTATATAAACTGCAATGCTTTTATACATTAAAAGTGGGACCGTTTATAATTGTTTTTTAAGAACTCCAGTTTCTCAGTGCTACATTTAAAAATTACATCAATAATCAAACCCTTACATACAGTCCTAGTGAAAGTCGTGTTCTTGTTGTGAGGAGAGTACTTTTATTTAAAATTGTGTTCTATTATAAAGAAATAGTTGTTGCACATACCACAGTTATTTTTCTAATTGTCTGAATCTTCAATACCCCAAGTGTGAAGTCCCCCAGTGTCACAACGGTATGTCTATGGACCTACAACGCTAGATAACGGGTTTCGATATCCGTGGTGGGGAGCACAGATAGCCTCTTTGTAGCTCTGTGCTTAACTTAAAAAAAAAAAACACTAAGTGTGAAATTGCTTATGAATTTTTGTTTGTGGTGCCATTCAGTAGATGGCGTAGGAGTTTTAGTTATATATACATAGATAGAGACATACATGCCACGTCCATTACAGTAAGATGAGTAGCTGAAACATGTTGAACTTATTATTACCAGTGTGTGAGGATTAAGAATCTATATTTTGAATAGGTACAAGTACTGGAGAAGACTAAATAGTTAACATTTGTAAAAAATACTACTGTTGGTGAAACATAATCTTAAACAATTATCTTAATGTAAAAAGCCTAAGCAATTAAAATTACAATAATGATCAGAGTGTGAGAAGACTAAATGACGACTTCTAATCGGGACTTAAAGAGACTATAGGATCAGAGGAGTGGGTTTTAGTTACGAAGGTGGATAGAAGATAAACTATCAAAGTAAAGGCTTTTGGTAATTAAGATAAAAAGAGACTGAACGGTCAGAGTAGCGACTTCTATTTAAAAAGTTGCCAATAAATTATGCAGTGTGGGGACCTTAGTTACCAGGTTGGAAATAAGCTACACGTTCAGTTTGATAACGTTTCACTTTCCAGTATATAATAAAAAGATTAAACGATCATGGGAGTGACTTTTTTTTACCATGAAGGAAAGAGAGTAAACAGTGGAAGTGGTGACTTATATATAATCATGATGGACAGATAGTGAATATACAAGATGTAGAACTCTATCTTAAGTGAAATCACACGAGTGGATGTAGATTTTTGTTTACGCATAAAGTTGTGATGAGACAAAATAATTAAGACGTTTTTTTTTTAGTCACAAATTTAGGACTGAAGGAACAGAACAGAGACTTTAAAACAACATATCGGTAAGTTTGTTTTGTTTGTTATCAAGCTCAAAGCTACACATAATTTAGAACCTTCAGAAAATTTAATAGATTTGCTCATTTTAAAATGTGAGTGGGATGGAAGTTTATTCAAAAGTTTTACTTACGTGAATGAAAGTTTCAGTTCATCTGTGTACGGTGAAGCTTTTTCTTGGGGGGCCACCAAAAATGGGCCGAAAATAAAGATGCTGAATTAATTTTAATTCCAAATAGACAATAAACCGATAAAAATTATTTTGAATTAATTAAATGATACAATATGTCGAAAGGAGCTGTTACTGATTTTACTACAGCACTGTTTTTCAATCACCATGCTAAAGTTATAGGTTGGGGGGCTCAAACTTTTTTATTCACATCAGACTAAAGAAGTTTGGAAATCGCTGCACTAACCTAACTAAATAATATAACACTGATTGGGTAAAGTGTGCTATAAAAACGACAGGCAAATCTCGCTAAATTTGTCAGATAAAGAGCTGGCGTTGGGTACTGTTGACCAGCTGTCTTCCCCCTATCAGATCCAAATTGGATGGGGGGGGGTATCCAAGACACGTCTTGTATAGCGTTTAAAACAAACAACTATTTACAACATAATATTCTTGGTAGAAGTTATCTTTTTTTTCTGTTAAGAAGCATATTGACCTTTAATTTAAAATAAGCTTTTAAAACGACGGATAAATTAAAATAGACAAATTGTATTAATTTCTTAGTCTCTGGCGATGAACTTAAGCCTTGTTTTTACACAATCTGCTATGAATACAGAAATATTTTTTAAACCTTTAGGGGCTTGACCTTAAGCTGTTTTATTTTTATCAAAACGGGATAAACGTAGAAAAAATTGTTTAATTTATCCACTCATTATGGAAATATGTGCTAAGGAATAACAAAACAGAGAAAATTTCGAAAAACAAAAAAAGGGAAACTGTGTTAAGACTAACAAAACAGAAAATTTTTAAAAACTAAACAAGTGAAACAGTGTGCTAAGGACTAACAAAACAGAGAAAAATTTGAAAAACAAAACAAGTGAAACGGTGTGCTCAGACTAACAAAACAGAGAAAAATTTGGAAAACAAAACAAGTGAAACGGTGTGTTAAGACTAACAAAACAGAGAAAAATTTTGGAAAACTAAACAAGTGAAACGGTGTGCTCAGACTAACAAAACAGAGAAAAATTTGAAAAACAAAACAAGTGAAACGGTGTGCTCAGACTAACAAAACAGAGAATAGGTTTTGGAAACTAAGAGACTGATTTTTGTGTTGAGATGTGACCATAAAAAGTTTAATTAAACAAAAATGATTAAAGGAAATAGTGAAACTTGGTAGCAGGTCTATAAATGGTGCCGAGGTGTTTCTTTTTTGTGATGTAGGTGTGTCAAATATTGCCAAAATTGATGGTTTTATGAAGAAGAAGGAATATATCTACATCATGGTTCTTCACACATCACACAGTGGACGATTTTTAATCAGCTCTTGGTAACATTCATGTTTGATCTTAATCGTCATACAGTTATAGATTAAAAAAAACCTGCTAAAAGTCTATTATTATATTTGGTTATGTTCAAACATCACGTTTTTAAATTCTCATATTTCTAATTTTTAGTATAAATATAAAACGAAAATCAAAACAATTGTGTTTCACAAAATTTTTTCTTGAAAAAGTGAGTACTAACACCTTGGTATTTAGGGTTAATACCAGGCACATAGCTAATAGCGGATAATGAATTGTAAGTTTAGAGGTTTGGGGTTTAAACACCCAGGTCTTATCCATTATCATAATCGTTTTTCTGTTAGGATATGGAAGTCTAACACTTTAGGGATTCTACTTCCGCAACTGTCAATCGTTTTTCTGTTAGGATATGGAAGTCTAACACTTTATGGATTCAACTTCCGCAACTGTCTTCCTTAAACAGTGTTCCACTTTCCTTTGCAGCTGCTAAACAAGTAGTATAACTTTTTTCTTTTGTTTTGGTACTGCACGATTTTAATATGATTATAAATGCTACTTATGTCGTTGGCTTTTTGTGGTCACATGTTCGTTCTTTCGTAGTTGCTGTGGACATGTGTATACGGTATACATTTTTACAAAGCTTTAGCAAATCGAACAATTATGAACAGTAAATTTAAGTTGCTGGAATTTCATTTTTAACATGAAGAGAACCTGATGCCATACAACAAAACAGTATTAAAATTTAATACAATTATATAAACTTGCTTAGAAAACGTAATCTCGGTTGTTTAGTATCCAGCTACTAAAATATGTAAATATAAATATGTTTTACTTTAGAAAGAATCTAGATGAGTCAGTAGGATATTCTAGAAACTAAATCTACCCGTGAAAATAGTTTAAATAGTGAGTCAGTAGATTATGCTGGAAACTACAACTACCTGTGAAAATAGTGTAAATAGTGAGTCAGTAGGATATGCTAGAAACTAAAACCACCTGTGAAAATAGTTTAGATAGTGAGTCAGTAGATATGCTGGGAAACTACAACTACCTGTGAAAATAGTTTAGATAGTGAATCAGCTAGTCATGCTGGAAACTACAACTACCTGTGAAAATAGTTTAAATAGTGAATCAGTAGGATATGCTACAAACTAAAACTACCTGTGAAAATAGTTTAAATAGCGAGTCAGTAGATTATGCTGGAAACTACAACTAACTGTGAAAATAGTTTGAATAGTGAGTCAGCAGGTTATGCTGTGAAAGTAATTTATATAGCGAGTCAGTAGGTTATTCCGTGAAAATAGTTTAAATAGTGAGTCAGTAGGTTATTCTGTCAAAATAGTTTAAATGGTGAGTCAGCAGGTTATACTAGAAACTAAAACTACCTGTGAAAACAGAGAAGTTCGAACAATTTTATCATTCATAAGAATAAACATTAAAAAAAACCTTCATCTCAAAATATGTTGTTAAATAGCAAGACGAAACAGAAAATACCGGGCAAAAACAGAAAGTGTTATTTTTGTGGTATAAAGTACAATGGCATGTAAGATATACCACTAGTATAAATATCTTCTTACAAATAACTGACTTTTAATTACCTGACTCTATGATAATTTTAAAAGATTTAATTGACAACAATACATTTTGAGCCTCAGTCAATTTTGGATGATAAAATGAAAATAAAAGAAGAGAAAAAAAAGGAAAATGTTTTCTCCTGGAGCACCAGATAGAAGACGTGTTCAGTTGGTATGAACGCGTCAATTTCCTTACCGCTCGGGACGCTGATTGCGCATGCTCAGGATCTCGGCATGCTTGGACGTTACCGGTGTATTTGGGGTGCCACTGAAGGTTATATGCTGGGTACTAAGCGGATATTTACAGCGTGAAGCTAGTGATATCAGAATCGATGATGACGTCGAGCAACACGGAGCCTCGAGTATCTCGGTAAATTGGCTATGAAGAGACGGCTGTACCTTGGCCTAAACGTGAGATGTTATCGAACCAGCGACTAACATCATCTATGATGGTAAGCGACTTTAGTGTGCTTTTGAAACACATATTGAAAAAAAAAGTTTTACAGTTTATTTAAAAGCTCGTGACTTGCACAAATCGCACGTATGTAAAGCGGATGTTGTTGTATTTCTACGCTATTGAGTTAAGATGACTGTTTTATTTCGTAAAATGTCCATATTGAATGAATATTTTTACGCACACGCAGCCGACTTTGTTTTCCACTCAAATTATATAATTTGAATAATTCTGTCTGCACGATACATACCTTGCCTCAGTATCGCCTAGTGAAAATAAGGTTAGCGCGCGTGCTTCGGTAGCATACACTAGTGTTAGGTAACTAACGTGTACTTTTACAGGAGAACTAGCGAATTCTGTAGATGTATTATTATCATTTAGGCTTACAAACTCACACATATATCCATGTACGTACATATACATAACAGGACATTTATTAGCTGAAAACGAGCGCAGGTGTGCCGCCGTGTTTGCCTATTTTCTAAAAGAAATGTTATACGTAAGTTCTTGTTATAAAGAGGAAGACATATTATTAAAGTAAAAACTTTCTACCCGACAGCAAAATGTAAAGATGGAGGTAACGCATGCAGACAGAAGTAAAGTTACTTTAACACAAATAATAGCAAAGCATATGGGCTGGACGTGGCCTATTGGTTAAATGTGACAGGCTATGGATTCAAACATCCATGGTTCGCGTTCTGTGGCAAAAAAAAAAAAAAAAAAGACAACGTTCGCACTTCCCACATTGGAGCTGTGGGTGCATTATAAGAGTGACAGTCAAATTACACTATTCGATTAACGTATCCCAAAAATTTGCGCTAAATAATATATTTTGTGGTGTTAAAACATGTCATTGGTGTTGTAAAATCATATTGTTGGCTTCGTGTTGATTTTTATCTTATTAAACTAGGTTAATTGTTTGCAGCTAAGCACAATGGGCTATCCGTGCTCTGCCCACCACGAGTATCGAAACCCGGTTTCTAACGTTAGAAGTCCGCAGACATACCGCTGTGCCACTGGAGGGGGTTTAGTGTTGGTGTTTATCTTATTAAACTAATTCATAACCGCTATTATCAGTCTGTTTAATGCTATAAGATATGTTGGCTTTTTGTATATTTTACTAAACAAGTTAATAACCGCTATTATCAGTCTGTTTAATGCTATAAGATATGTTGGCTTTTTGTATATTTTACTAAACATGTTTATAAGCGCTATTATCAGTCTGTTTAATGCTATAAGATATGTTGGCTTTTTGTATATTTTACTAAACAAGTTAATAAGCGCTATTATCAGTCTGTTTAATGCTATAAGATATGTTGGCTTTTTGTATATTTTACTAAACAAGTTCATAGCCGCTATTATCAGTCTCTTTAATACTATAAAATATGTTGATTTTGTGTTTATCTTATGAAACCAGTTCATAGCCGCTATTATCAGTTTGCTTAATACTATAAAGTATGTTGACTTTTTGTTTATCTTATTAAACCAGTTCATAATTACTATTATCAATATTTTTAGTACTGTAAAATATCTTGGCTTTGTGGTTACTTTATTAAACCAGTTAATAATCGCTATTATCAGTCTGTTTAGCGCTATCAAATATGTTCGATTTGTGTTTGAGTTTATGTTATTAAACCAGTTCATAAGCGCTATAAAAATCTATTTAATACTATAAAATAGTTTTATAGCACTGGGTTGGGGGGGGGGCGTATTAAACTATACCATAATTTCTCTTGTTGGTTCATGTGTTCCCAGATAAATAGAAAACTGCCCACCCTTAGCAAGAATGCCGGCTTATAACGCTGAAAAACGGGCTTCGATAGTCGTATCACCGATAGCCCAGTGTGCAGCTTTGTGCTTAATAACCAATAAACAACGAATAGAAAAATGGATACGTTATCCTTTTCCATGAACAGTGGTACCCTGAGATATTCAACGAACCTTGTGAATTTTACGCATTTAATAAATCATCGACATGTTTAAGAAACCATTAACGCGTTAATATATTTAACGACTCGTTAACCGTTTAATGAACCATTCACGTGATGAAAATGAACTTAACTTTATTAATCAGAAATAAAAGGAATAATAAATAAAAGCAACTCTAAACGACAAAGTGACATAAAGTTCACGATGTCAGAGAACAATTCACAAGAAAACGAAAACCTAAAATTGTAAAATTAAATTACAATTCGTCAGCTACCCCCCCCACACACGCACACACTATTTACGATATTATATATCACGAAATTTGCAAGCTTTTGAGACTGGGATTAGTCCTAAATCTGTATATTTTTAGCTAAGATTGTAAAATAATTTTCATGTATGCATGATTTGATTAGTCTGTATATATAGGCCTGGCATCTCCTGGTGGCTAGAGCACTCGACTCGCAATCTGAAGGTCGCGAATTCGAACTCCCATCACCGAACATGCTCGCCATTTCAGCCGTGGGGGCGTTATAAAGTGAAGGTCAATCCCATTATTCGTTGGTAAAACAGTAGCCATAGATTTGGCGGTCGGTGGCGTTAACTAGTTCTAGTCTATCGTTGCTAGCCCTCGTGTAGTTTTGCATGAAATTTAAAAAAAAAACCTAAATCTGTGTATATTAAGCTAACATTGTAAAAAAATTCTTCAAATGTATATAGATGTATGTATATCCAAAATTATTCAAAACGTTCTAAACAATAATATTAATGAAACATTGGTGTGTTTAAATGTTTAACAACTTTTTGAAATCTTAACTCGCTTAATGTGTTATTCACATGTCGACTGTTGAGTAAATTACCGTCATATTGAACTATCGTTGTCTGAACTTAGTTTGGAACAGTGGAGTGATTCATTGTATTGAGATAGTCTTCACCAGAACTTGCTACTTGTGTTGGATTATAGTATATATATATAGAGAGAGAACTCAAGCATATCAATAGCGCTGTTATCGAAAAGTGTTTTATTATTAAACATGTCGACTGTTGAGTAAATTACCGTCATATTGAACTATCGTTGTCTGAACTTAGTTTGGAACAGTGGAGTGATCCATTGTATTGAGATAGTCTTCACCAGAACTTGCTACTTGTGTTGGATTATAGTATATATATATAGAGAGAGAACTCAAGCATATCAATAGCGCTGTTATCGAAAAGTGTTTTATTATTAAAAGTTATCTTTTGTTCTTCTCTTGAAGGCCCAAGTAGAATTATGTGTTATGTATATTTTAAATGGGCTCGATATAGGTTTCTTTCGGTTTTATTGCACTCCTGTTGACCAAGACACAAGGAAGTGTGTTGTGAGGCCAAAACAACCTGCTACAGGACACACTGTGTGTTATTAACAGGAATGATAGTTTAGTGATTTTCCTCTTTCTGTGGCTCGGACTGTGGTAATCCAAGCTATCAAATATTTTCAGTGGAAACTTTATTTGATAGAAAAACCTTTTTAACTTTTATGGATTTTTTCAAACTTCGTACACTGATAGATCTTTACATTCTACAATTAGTTGTCAAATGTGGTATAAATATAAGCCACATGTGCAAAGTTATTCAACAAAAACCGCTCACATTTGACCAAAATATTTGCACACGCCTATGCAAAAAGTCACTTGAGCTATCGATCTGAAATGTTTACTACAGCTTCACCTAAGAATAAAAGTGGACCAGTTTTGTTTTTTTGGCATTAGGATTAAAGATGGCTGATTTAGACCAGAAAAAAAACTATAAGGTGGAAGGACGTGCAGATACATAAGTATTGGTTAGGCCAAGCAAGCTAAATTAGCAGTTTCTAGCTCAAGTTTTCAAAAGAATCATACGGGTGGACGGTTATTATTTATTGCCAATTTTTAAGCACAAATTTGCCAAATTTTATGAAATTCTCCCAACTAACGAACGTTTAGCGCCACGCGATATTAGCTTAAGCAATTAGCTTAAATAATGATGCTTAATACGGCTGCACCGATTACACGAGGGTGATGACAAGAAACTGTTAATCTAGATTCCATGATGTTATTATAATGGAAGTTATTAACTTTGTTTGAGAGAGAAAAAACTACCACCATATATTTTAAAGAATCTGGTTGGTTCTGTAAAATATAGATCTGTTACCAGTTTTTCCCTGAAGAAGAATGGTCCACCTTTCGGCAGCGCTTAGGTTATAGAGTTTTTATCGTAGTGTAACTACCAGTTTGACCGCCAATTTGATTTCATTCTTTTAAATTTCACGCTCAATCCTTTTTTTGACCGCTCCTTTTTTTCCCACCTAACGTGTTTTTGATTAGATATTTTTTTAACTGGAGCTTTGGATAAGCTGTTTCCCGGCTTGGCTTAGTGGTCCAAGGTTCGCGTCACCTTGCCGCTAAAAACGCTACGTACTTTCAGATTTGGGTGTGTTATAAGAGTAGCAGTCAATCCATTATTATATTCAAAGCTAGACAAAGCCTTGTAGTGGGGAATGTTGTTGATTAGATTGTCTTTTCTCCGGTCAATAGTTCAAAATTAGAGACGACTAAACCTGAATCTCAGGAGTCTCTGAATTGTTTGTTTAAGCTCCTGTTTGTGTAAAAGTGTCTTTCAGGTTGAAATAACTTACTATGTTCTTCATATTAATAGCAAAAATGATCGTTTGAAAATGTTAAAGGCAACAATTTATAGTGCACAAAAATTTGGGGGAAATTAAACAATTCAAGAAAACAAACCTTGTACAAAATGTATAAAAATAATAAGATAGTATAACAAACTTATATTTGCAGCAATCTTTTGGTTGTACACCATGCTGTAACTGGTTTAGAAGTAAGCTTTAACCAAGCTGTAACTGGTTTAAAAGTAAGCTTTAACCGGGCTGTAACTGGTTTAGAAGTAAGCTTAAACCGGGCTGTAACTGGTTTTGAAGTAAGCTTTAACCATGTTATAGTTGATTTAGAAGTAAGCTTCAACATGTTGTAACTGGTTTAGAAGTAAGCTTCAACCGGGCTGTAACTGGTTTAGAAGTAAGCTTTAACTAGGCTGTAA